GGGCGGGGAGGGTGTGGAGCTGAAGAGCTCCCTTAAGCTGAAGTCAGGCTGTGGTGTAATGGACTCCTTTGGAAAGGTTGGGAGGGAGGGAGGGAGAAGGTCTCATCAGAGGGAGCAGGGGTTGTCTCCAGAGAGCACCTGGGGCAGGGGTCTCTGGGGACATGTGGGACAGAGCCAAGGCCACATCAGACTGCTTGAGTCTGAGCTGTGGGTGGTTGGTGACTCTGGGCATCCCTGCCCTGACTGGCAGCATCCCTCTGGTCCCAAGCTGATCCCACATTTCTGGTGGTCGTGTTTCCCTCTGTGTGTGGGGTGAGGGAGCCCTGCTTTGTTCACATTCAGAGTGTCTGGTGACAGTTTGGGACTGAACCTCCTTGAGAGCAGAGTGGGATGCGGAAATGGGTTTGTGTCCTCCAGTTTCCCACTTGGAGGAAAGGAGGCAGTCCTGCTTTTCTCCCCTACGGCAACAAATCTTCCTGCATCAAATTGGGGCCTATTATTGGGGACAGGTGGAATGAGGCACAAATAATAGACCTGGAAGATGAGGATGAAGGATATGACTTTGTCAATAACCCCAAAACCGCAATTACTAGACACAGTCCTCTGCTCTCAGGAGGACATGGACCTGTGAAGGGTGGCCTTGCTTCCTGGCCAGGTCCTGTGTATTTCCCCTTTCATTTCCCTGGGTTTTGTGCTTTTTCTTCCCTGCTGCCCACCCCACCAGTCAGGTCTCTTCCAGCCCAGTGTCTCCATACAAGGAGGTTGACTCAGACTTTGCCTTTAAAACCGTACTAAAGGTACAAGTTTTTTTGTACCTCTAGTGTTGCAGGTATTACTACTTTTATGGTAGTTTCTGTAGCTGTTGGGATTCCCTGGTGCTCCATCCTGTCTACCCACCTCTCTACTGAAGATCCCACTCTGTCTTTGCCTTCCTGATACTTGTGTATGCCATGCACCCACATGGCCTGTGCTTTTAATTTATTTTAATACTTTGGTGCGGCTTCCCCAATAAATGGGTGGAAATGCAATGTCGAGGCTCTGACTGTTTTCTTCTGGCACCACCTGCGTGAATGGGGTGAGGGAAATGGTCCTGCTTGGCCGGAAAGTCCTACTCCTGGCTCAGACCCGTCAGGCTCTGGCTGGGAGGATGCTGGGCTCTGGGGCTGGGGCAGCACAGGAGCTGCAAGCCATTAGCAGCTGTGGGCAGCACTGCTGTGCTGGGAGGTGAGGGGAGCTGTGGTGCCTCTGGGGCTTCCTGGGTGCTGTGAGGTGCTGCACACTGAGACCCTGTGTGAGCAGGGCTATGCAGGGGGCTCTTCCCTGTGGATGGGGGACCCAGGGAGAGGGCAGGGGCTGGGAAGTGGGTGCCACCTCACTGAGGGCTGGAGGGGGGTGGCCTGTAACGTGAGCATCAAAGAAGCTGTTTGCCAGCAGGGCATGTACTGCTGGGGGGCATAGCCCAACATGGAGATGTTCTCCATCTGGATCAGTCCTGAATGGAGCTCAAAATACCACAGCTCTGGAGACTCTGGCCCCAGGGGGGTGACCTCAAATGATGAGCCACAGCCCACCCCCAAATCCTGTGCCCCCATGGCAAATAGCAGAGATTGTACCCGAATTGTGTCTCACTGACCTCCCCAATCCCCTCTCGTATGCTCCCCTAAACACCACGCAATGACCCCAGTCTCAACCCCGTAGCAGCCAGTCATAGAGTCTGGCAATGCCCAAGCTGGTGGGTGATGGGGAGTCTCCTGCATAATTTGGGGTGGGATGCTTCTGGAGTGGGAGGCAATGCCCCTTGCTCATCCCTCTAGGATCCCGCATGGCTGGCCTGGGTCCTTGTTGTGCAAGCGCCTGCTCAAAGCTCAGTTTGGGGCTGTTTTATCTGGGGACAAACCCACTTGCTTTCCCAGCTTGGCCCTGTGCTGCACCCTGCAAGCGGACAAAGGGCAGCTTTCATCAGCCGGTGCAGCGGGCATCCCCCCAGGCTGCAGGGGCAGCATGGCCATCACCCACACTCCCCTGCACGATGCCTCAGCCTTTTGGGCACTCCCACAGCCTCAGCACGTGCATTGCTGACAGAACGGGGCACCTTGTGTGCTGCCATACACGTGCCAAGAGTTGCAGGCACAGATTTCAGGTAAGTGCACAGGGATGTGCACAGTGTCTTTATAGTCTCCCCGCTCCCTCCCCGTAGCATCACTCTTGCTCTAGCCAGTGCAACTGGCAGGGGGGGCAGGCAGGGAAGCATCCCACAAAGACGCCAGATACCATGTTTTCCTTTGCCAGCAACACAGCATCTTCCCTGTTGCAGTGAATGTGTGTTTCTGTGTGTGTGTGTGTGAAGTTGTCCACATGTGTGTGCATGATGTGCTGACTCACTGACACACTGACACACTGACCCACCAGCCCAGAGCTGAGATGCTGAGCTGGCTGTGGTGGTACCCTTAAGTCTTTAATCTGGGTGATCATCTGGCCCTGCTCTGAGCCGCTTTAACTTTCCTAAACAGGAGGCCAAGATTAAGTGTGGGGTGGGGGACGCAGCAGGGTTGGGAGTCTGGCGGTTGAGAGCCGCTGGGGGGGAGCTGCCCAAGCGTTGTTTCCACCCAGGGGGCTCAAAGCTGGTGGCAAAACAGACCTGGGCCTGTCTGGCCATGCAGATGGACCCTTGGGAAGAGGTGGGTGGTCTTGGGGCAAGTCCTCGGACCCTGGGAGGGAGGCCTGGCCTGGGTGTGGCGGTGTGGGTGGCAGGGCTGGCCCCGCACGGTGCCCAGCGCCTGGGCGGGCCTTTCCTGGCAGCTTAGCCGGGGTCACACTCAGCTCAGGAGTAAATCTGCTGAGCTGCTTATGCCTATTACAAAACGGGCATGCAGGCAACCCCTTTCACCTGCACCCACCACCTTGGTCCTGCCTTCAGGCCAATGCTGTGGGACTCAATCCACTGCAGCAGTCTGGGGGCACCCTGGGACACAGCTAGCTATTCTCCCCTTGTGCCAGATGAAGGGGGGAACTGGGCAGGCATCACTACCTCCTCTGTGCGTTGGGGACGCCCTGGGGAGCAGACACACCCCTCCTCACTCCTTGCTGTGTTGGGGGTGGCTGGCAGGAAAAGGAACTGATCTCAGGCAGGGAGCAGTCTTTTGCAGGCCATGGCTGGGAGTTGAGGTGTCTCCTGAAATCTCTCTCATACTGTAATTGCCATGTTGTCCCTCTGCTCCGGGGGTCCCATGCAGTCAGCGGAGAGGGCGTTTCCCAGAGCTGTGGCATGGGTCATGCTGTAAAGCTACTCCTGTGGTGCACTGGACACCTGCAGTGCGTGATGATACGCAGGGGCATGGGGAGGACAGGCTAATGCCAAGGAAGGCAGAATGCCCACAGTGGGGGTAATCCTGCTAAGAGGCTCTGAGATCAGGCTGGGTGTGTGGCACAGCTCCCATCGCCTTTGAGGCTCACAATAGACATGGGCAGCATCATTCCGGAGAGCAGGATGGAGCCGGCAGGAGCTGGGAGCAGCTGAGCACTGGGGCAGGGTGAGAATGCGCATGCCCCCATGAAAAGTGTGTCTGGGGTCACCCAGGGAGCTGAGCACACACAAGGTAGGGCACGTGCTCTCTCCGAGCAGGCTCTCCTCCCGCAGAAGCCCCCGGGAACAGTCCTTTGCCGAGCTCCACTCCTGGTCCAGCCCTACTCCAGCCCTGGTGGTCCCGCTGCCCTGTCTGCTCTGGGCTGCAAGGCTCTGGGAGGCCACGGTCGGCTGTCCAGGCAGGGGGTTCGTAGCTTCGGACTTACTTTCCCAGCAGTCATGGAGAAAGGACTAGGGAAAATGGGGCGGGAGCAGAGCTGCAGGAAGGAACAGGGTCCCCAGGCCTAAGCAGGTCTTGGGGAGGTCATCCTGCCTCCCCACTGTGCCCTGCTGGCATTGACACATGCTGTCACGTTCTGGCTAGGGACAGGTGGGCAAAGGCCACTTTCCCTGAAATAGCTGCTTGCACCCAGGGCCAGCCTGGCTCTTCCCCTACATTTAGTCACTGTGGCACAGGGGGGAACTGACCTTCATTGTAAAAACAAACAACAAGGAAAAGCAGCACTGCCAGGTGAGAAATTAATTTCCTTCTAACTCCCCCCTCCCCTCCCCAATCCCTGGAGCTCCCAGGTCCCATTTCCCGCTCAGACACCCACATTCTCTCCTGCCTCCCTCGGTGCAGGTACCACCGTTGCCCTGCTTTCCCTTCACATGTGACAGGACCTAGCTGCCTGCAGACCCTGTGAGCTGGACAAGGCTAGGCTGTTTCAGTGAAAGGGGGCTGGCTGTGGAGACTGACTGGGGCATAGGACCCATTTGGGGAAGGGAGAAGAATGCTCTGCAGTCTGTTTCCTGAGCTGCTACAGCCCAGGCTCTCTGCTTACCTTCTGTACAGTGACACAAACGTGACATGGGACTTGACTCTGTCCCCATGGGGATGTACAGATGTGGTGGCAGCTGAGGGGCACCAGGCTGTATGCGAATGACAATAACTGTCAGGCCCTTGAGGTGATCTCAGGCCCTGCAGTGCATGTTATCCTCATCCCGTCCACCACTGGTAGGCCTGGAACAGTTGATGTACTGGAGAAACATCTGGGTGGTGAGTAGGAGGCTGAACTGCAGGCACTGGTGCCACATTGGGACATGGCTGGGAGAACTGCTGGGGAAGCAGTCAGGCTATGGGCCATGGGGCAAGCAGCTCAGGGAGCTTTTGGGGTGGGAGAAGGCTTTTTGAGCCACAGACATTGTGGCCAAACAAGGAGGCACCTGGGGGACCGATCAGGGCAGCCCCAGGGAGGATTGCTGGACACCTCAGTGGCTGGCAGGATGGGGAGGCAGGAGAATTTCCAGGTGGAAATGAGTGGGCTCATCTCCTTAAGCAGCTGAATGGGATCACCTGCAAGGATGGGAGGGCTAGTTTAAGGGGAAGGAAGAGGTTGTAGAACATGCCCACCTTAGGGACACAGGCTGCACCCAGCACCTCTGGAGAGAAAGGCCCATCTTGCTTTTGTGTTGCAGTGGGACTCTGGTGGGCAGGGTAGCATGGGATGCTGCAGGCCTGGGAACGTTCCAGCTCTGGCTTCACAAGGTGGGTGAAGATGGATGTACGTCCCTGGCTGGAGGAAGAGCCCCCATACCTGCTGTCCCACTTGCTGAACCCGGTGCACCCACAGGCAGGGGCCATAGCCCCCTGCACCCTCCCCAGCCCCCCGAGGGGCCAGGGAACCCCCTGCTCCAGTTCTCTCTCGAGGGGGTAGCACCTGAAATCCTGCTCTCTCGCCATCATTTCAAGGCGGGGTGATGTGAAAAGAGCAATG